TACATGTTGCTTTGGAAAAACTGCAGTTTTAAAGACATTAACTTGGTGCCAAGCACCAATTAAGAGCTTAGTACAGGAGAAAACCCAAAGAACCTGGACAGGTCTGGGTCATGTATAACAAACTTCACTTTGTACACACATAATTACATCTTCACATCTGGTAAATGTCAGCAGAGCAACACTCAAAAGAAACACAAACAAGAAAGGATGGACTGCACTGGACTAAAGTTGCCAAGGACGGAGAAACCAAGCTGAGCAATGTCTTTATCTGTAGTCCAAGGATTTACAGACCTGTTGTTTGTTTTAAGATTAAGTGTGTTTGCACTGCTCATTCAGGCACAGAAAAGGCTATTCATAACAGTTACATATAATAGTAATGGATCGTCTCTCTACAAATCACTGAGGGGGTTTTCTTAAATATTGTAGGTCAGTGTGGTCGGAAGCCTGGCTCTCTTAAAAGAGGGCATCCTTACAACTCCATAGTGAGGCAAGCTCAGTTAATCCGAATGGAACTTTCCAGCACAAACCTTCACAAAAAGTCAATGCTGTGTTGCTAAATTCTTCTTAAATGGCCTTACAACATATTGTGACATTTTCTGGTTGTCAAACATTTACATTCACTCATTTAGCAGATGCTTTTATCCAAAGCAACTTACTATATACAGTGCGCGATTATGTAAATGTGATGAGTTACACCTGTGGTTACTCCGTGGACACCTGTGTGAATTTATGAAGAACTGACTTCATATATCCACTAAAAATCACCAAAACACTAGCCGAACGAATTTAGAAAAGTGAAATTAGTTCTGAAAAAAAACTTGTGCAGCATGACACCACATGTTTTAATATTTTGTGAAAATGATGTGACAAAATATTAAACGGGGCTGCTGCAGATTGGGTATTTCTGTGTTAGCACAGGGAGGAAAGACTAGGCAGTAAAATGTACCAAGACAACACAGCTAGATGACAAAACTCATATTAGGGTATGAAGGTAAACTTTATATATACAGTATATATTGACAGTTTTGTTCACTTTTTATTAGACACAATTTATGTGTATTATTAATTTCCATATAAATCTAAGGAAAATTCAAAACTCTGAGCAAGGCAGAACAACTTATTGTTTACATGTTAACTTCTAAATTTAAAGGGTTAGTTCACCCAAAAATTCTAAGTCCACTGTGTCATGACTGGCAAACTATTTTGTGTGTTAAGGGGTTAGTTCACCCAAAAATGAAAATTCTGTCATTAATTACTCACCTTCATGTTGTTTCAAACCCATAAGACCTTCGTTCATCTTTGGAACACAAATGAAGATATTTTTGATGGAATCTGAGAGCTGTCTGACCCTGCATAGACAGCAATACAACTGAAATGTTCCCAAGTCCAGAGACGTAGCAAGGAGATCTGTAAAATAATCCATGTGACATCAAGGGTTCAACCATAATTTTACGAAGCTACGAGAATACTTTTTGTAGGGTGCAGGGTCAGACAGCTCTCAGATTCCATCAAAAATATCTTAATTTGTGTTCCGAAGATGAACGAAGGTCTTACGGGTTTGAAACGACACGAGGGTGAGTAATTAATGACAGAATTTTAATTTTTGGGTGAACTAACCCCTTAACACACAAAATAGTTTGCCAGTCATGACACAGTGGACTTACAATGAAAATAAGTAAAATCAAGACAGCACATGCATTGCATGGCATACAAAAAGAAAAAAATAAAATAAAACAAATAAAATCATATAAAATAAAAAAATAAAAAATATGAGATTGAGAAAAAACTGAAATAATTAACAACTTCTGAAACTCCAACCACACACTTTAAAGACATCCTGATGCTCCATATAGAGTACTGAACATAATACTGAACGTAACACTACAAAATCTTGACTTTCTGTCATAATAAAGCTTATCTTAAATTAACATACATAACAGAGAGAGCCATGTCAAAAAAAAAAAAAAAAGATATATATATATATAGTGTTGGCAAACACAACACAAGACAAAAAAAAGTGAACTATAATCAATAAAAGCATGACAACATTTGAGGCAATGTTGCATACTCAAACCAAAATTACAATTTGTTGGGTTTATATTGCCCACTTGTGGTCAATCTGGGGGATTTGAAAAATGGTAAAGACCACCACCATGGACACTGCAATCTTCAGTTTTCCGTCCGCTTAAAACCTGAGAACATCTTGGAGCACATATCTCTCTCTTTGTCCAAATAGTCCATGTAGCAGCTGTAAAAGATCAGCAGATTTGTTCAGCTTTCACATTCACACATGTACTGTAGGAAAACTTGACAAAACTATCAGATCAGGAAAACTTACAGAGCAAGCTTTTTCAGCAAGGTGTTAATGTCAGGGTCAAATGGCTTTTTCGCCTGAGCAAGTGTAAGGTAATCTTGTGCCTTCTCATAGTCGCTCATCTCCAAACAGGCCTCGTTAAAAAAAACAAAATCAGATCAGTCATTCCATAAAGTCTTCCTCTTTAATAGCAAATTGAACACAAATGACTGGAAGTTTCTTCAGGAAGCTAAATAGCTCTTTATAAGGGCTGTTAATTTAACCTGTTAATGTGCTAAAACTAACTTAGTGTGATCACTAAAAAACACACACTATTAGTACTTTTTCAGTACAAATTATACAAACGTAATTGATTAAAATATAAATCTTTATGAATCTGAAGTAAATTTAATAATATGGAATTGTCCCGTCAGCACAGCAATTCAATCGTGATGTACTACCTTTGTTTTTGAAAGTCCAATCTGGCCCCAAATGAACAGACAGTAAAAAAATGAACAAGGTGCCTTTCACACGAAACAAGCCCAAGTGCTCAAAATCAGCTAATCAGAGCACAACAGAATGGAACAGCTGTCTTAAAAACATTGCGCTCATTGCTTGAGACACAGAAAAATAGCAACAGAGTGGCCAAAGACGTTAATCTAAACGTACATTTTTTTTAAACATGCTCAACAAAAAAATGCTCGTGTGTGCAAACTGCAAATGGTTAAAGGGTTAGTTCACCCAAAAATGAAAATTATGTCATTAATTACTCACCCTCGTGTTGTTTGAAACCCGTAAGACCTTCGTTCATCTTCGGAACACAATTTAAGATATTTTTGATGAAATATGAGGGCTCTCTGACCCTCCCATAGACAGCAAGGTAACTTGCACAAAAATAACGACTTTATTCCACATTTTCGTCTCTACTGCGTCACTTTGGACGCGCGTTCACGACAGTATCATGACGCGAGCGTGTGGTGGCGCTGACCCAGATCCGGCGTAATGACATCATCACACCGGATCTCCGTTCTGCAGTTATATCTACTTGAGCGCCGGCGCCGCCACACGCTCGCGTCATGGTACTGTCGTGAACGCGCGATGAACCACTGATGTCACACGGACTACTTTGTCGATCATCTTGGTACTTTTCTGGACCTTGAACGTGGTAGTTACCTTGCTGTCTATGGGAGAGTC